CAGCCAAGGACACCAGAACTTTACTACTGATTAATAAAGCCTTAAATAGCTATGTTGGTTTTTTTTTTTTTTATCTCAGAGGAGATTACCCAATGGTCTCTTAACACTTCATTCTTCAGCAGTACCCATCCTGACAATGTGGGGCCCCTGTGAGAATTTTCTTCCCCTGGTAGGATGCCACAGCTTACTTATCTCAGAGGTTCTAATAGTGTCCACACAGAACAACGCAACGAGTCGAAATCAGCAGCCCAGTCCCCATCCCGATCTGTGCACCTGTGGCAAATACAAACTATCTAATTTCCACCTCACCAAAGGCGATGCAACAGTGTTGAATCAGGCGGGGCTGCACAGAGAGCTCAGGTGTCAGTCTCTTTATGGACACCAATGCGATCACAGCTGTGCCTAGCTTAAGAGAGGGCTGATTGTGGCTCTACCCGTTGTAATTATGAAGCATATGGGTAAAAATTCATACTGGCTGTGTGCTCTACTCTGATGTGTGAGGGACATACCATGTGCTGCATACAGCTTAGTCCATCCCCAACTGATCTCACACAAATATTTCTCCAGTTGTAAATGGGGGTGTGTGCACCTAGCCCTTTCCTGACACAGATCATTCCTGAATGGATGATTTAACATCATACTCTTTCTGGTTGTCACCGGGGTGCAAATATAAACCCCAGCCTTCATCTGCCATCTTTTCTTTAAGAGTAACTGTACTGTAAAAGTAATAGGGCACCGTTAAATTTAGAAACATAGGGCATCTGGGTGTAACATCTGATATAAAATCCAAAGGAAGCTTGTGTGGTGGGAGGGAGGAAAAATCACTGTCCTTTGAGTTTGACATTGTGAGTACTCACTCACCCACTCCTAATGAACTCCTCATTCGTTGGCTTTGTAGACACATGGGTGTCACCAGGAGGATGGGTTTGGTTTTCAAAATCTTTAGCAACATGTCAACTGCTTCCGTTCACTCTCTGACCCAGTGCAGTCGACCAGACTATAATGCAGATGCCTGGGCTCACCATGCTGACTCAGAATGAGACTGGATAATTATACACCCTGACATCCATGAGACCCACTTCTGCAGGAAGACCAGGGCCACTGTAGACAGGGCAACAGATTGGAGGCTGACAACAGCTTTCAGAGTGGGTGGGTGGTCCAACAAGGCTGGTCATCATGGGACTGTCCAGCTCTGGCTGTCAATAATCCTTCCTGGGTACACAGTCCCCAAAAGAAACTTGGCCAAAAAAGTAAGTGTGGCCCAAGTAACTCTCCCTTGCCCAGTGAACTCCCCAGCACATAGCCTTGAACCTGCAGCTTCAGGCCTGGGTCCTGCTCCTGAACTCAAGGAATTCTAGTCTTACTGGAATAGGCATCTTCTAAACAAAACAAATTGTCCTCTGCTGAATGTCTGCTCAGTGGCTAGTGACCAACTTGGGGGCTTCCCTTTGGAGATTCCCAAAACATAGGTCATCCTTAAACAAATAAACAAACAAAAACAAAACAAAAAAACAACCAAACAAAAAACAAACCTAGAGTAAATTGGGTTGCCTACATTGTCTAGGGATATCCTGACTGTCCAGAACACTGAAACTACAGGTTGAGGTGGGGGACATACTTCTCTCCTGACTCCTTCAGACCTTGTCCCCCTCTAAGAGTTTAGAATTTATCAACTCCCAGGGATCCTTGACTCTTTGCTGATGGAATTAATCAAGCTCTGTTTGGCTCAGGCAACACACAGGTTGCCTGCTTCCCATGTGTCCTCTATGTCAACGTTGACTTCAATGCCCAGACATTCTTGAAGTTGGGCAGAGGGGAGTTATAGCTTTGCAAAATAAAAATGACGCCTCCAGCACAGTAGGTCAAATGAAGGATGAAAGAAAGCTAACGCCCATATGGAAGCATTTTCCAAATCTCTAACTCTGCCTATTCTGGGGCCTTGCTTTACTCACAGGATGAGTCTCTTACCCACCACTCGCAAAACTGCTTTGCTGTTTAACGGACAAATGGCTACACATTGAGGTCTATAACTCTCAAGACACACTGGAGATGCACATAATCCTACATGTGTGGTTTTCCTGTTTTGCATTGTGGAAATTTTTTTCTCCCATGGGTGTGCCAATAACCAATTCTAGTAAGTTCATGCAAAAGAAAACATGCTGGGATGCTGTCCAGCTATTTGGTTTCCACTAATAAAGATAAATGCTGTGAAACCCAATTATCCTTGTCTGTGGGACAGACTTCTGGGCAGCATTCTACTCCCAGGGAGGAAGCTGGAACTCAAATCCCAGCCGGGCATAGCTGCTCCACCAGGTGAGAAATTGTTAAGGCCAATTTAGCAAATTCCCCATTCTTAATTTCTTAATTAAATCATCAAGCAGTCCCTCCCCACCTCTTAAAAAAGAGAATGGAATCTGCTTTAGAAAAATCTCTTCCTCAAAGCTCCTTGGAGTCCCTATTGCTGCTTTCTGGTCATAGTTTTCTTCCCAAGTGTATCTCCAACCCAAACCTCTGGGTTTCAGGATCAGTCACATAAATTCTTTCCAAAATGCTCAGGAGTGATATGAGAAGCACAGCCCGTGGTCTTGTGTAGCACACCTACCTCCTTAACTCCAGACACTTGTTTCTGGAGAGAAAGAAAGAAAGAAAGAAAGAAAGAAAGAAAGAAAGAAAGAAAGAAAGGAGGGAGGG